GCAGCCACGCGGAACGGCCCGCACAGGCCGATGTGCACGACGGCCAGCACGTCGTCGGCGTCGGAGCCGTGGTCGGGGAAGGTGTGCCGCGCCAGCTTCCCACCGACGCACGAGACACACGGTGAGTCAGCGCCCGTCGCCGACTTGAGGTCCAGCCCAATGGCGACCTCGTTCTTTGCCGAGCTCCTAATGGTGTCCACGCCGACGTGCGCAAGTCTAGCGTGCATCCTGTCTGGCGTTGACTTCGTCTTCGAGACGATCGCCCGCAGGGCCACAACCTCCGGCGTCGGCGACGTCGACCTCATTGAGCAGGGACGCAGGTCGGTGCAGAGGACACGCTCGGAGTATGTCGCCCGGCTGAGCACCTCTCCTACTGCCGAGACGAGCACCATCCCGTCGCCGTCCTTCTGCAGCTTCACGCCGTGCTCCTTCAGCTGGTCGGCCGACAGCAGGTTTGCCCGCACACCCGGGACGTACAGCACGTCGGGGATGAGCACCTGCTTTCCGGCCTCCCCTTGCAGGGCGACAGTGCCGCGGCCATGGACGTCCTACAGCGCCCCATTGAAGCCGCGCACGTGCTTGATGGAGCCGCTCGGCTGCAAGTCGACGAAGACTTCCTTCATCCCCATCAGGTGGTGGGAGCAGCCGCTGTCGAGCAAGACCACCGCCGGGTTCGCCTGCACAGCTGCCGCCACCGCCTAGAAGTCCTCTCCGGCCTATGGCGCCAGCGAGAAAATCGGCTCCACGACGCCGACCAGCGAGCAGGACGCCGTCTTGTCGTCCCGCGCCTTGCTACCATCAGAGGAGTCGGCGTCCTTCGTCGAGGTCGACGTCGTCGACTGCTTCTCCTTGTGCGGCTTGTTTGATCCTCGATGAGGACGACGGCTGCCAGACCTCCTACGGCCTCCCTTGGCGTCGTCATTGTCGGAGTCACTGCGGTCGGGGCACTCGAAGGAGAGGTGGTTGGGGTCGCCGCACAACCAGCACTCCCGACGTTGACCTCCTCCTCCTTGACCGCTGTCCTTGGTCGACTTCTTCTTGTCGACCTCCTTGGCTTGCTTCCAGCCACTGTTTCCACCGCCGCCAGGATGTCCGCGTTGCCCTGGTCGGCCACCTTGCTTTGCCGGGGCGACGAAGTTCGCTAGCGCAAAGAGCTCCTGTGATCGCTCAGCCTCTTGCATCGCCTCATCTTGCAGGATGTACGAGGTCAAGCTGTCCTCGTTGAGCGTCGTCCTCGTGCTCGGCGCCATTGACAGCCTCTTGAGGAGGTTATAGCTGCTCGAGAGTCCCTGCATGACGTGGGTGACGTACGACGCAGTCGAGTACTGCCCGCCGGCCATCCTGATGGTGACGAGAATTCGCTGGGCCCGGTTGCAGTAGTCGGTCGCTGTCTCCTCGTCGCCCATACGCAGGTGCCTCAGCTGCCCCTCTAGCTGGGCGATGAACAAGTCGTCGGTGACTTGGTAGGTCGACTCAATGAAGTGCCACGCCCGATGGCCGGCGTCGAGGTACTCTCGGCACCACTTCAAGGCGATCTCCACACCCGGCGAGCAGCACCGCGAGATGACTGTAATAGCTGAACGGCGCGGAACTCCGCACGCAAGTCGGCGTGATGCTCCTCCGGCGTCGCCACTGTCCCTTGGACGAAGCCGATCAGCCCGGCCATCTCCAGCTGGGGCTCGATAGCTTCCTTCCAAGTGAGAATGTCTTGTCAACGAGTGAGCGGTGGGGTGACCAGGATCCTGTCCGGCGTGAACTTGAAGTAGCCGTAGCTCGGAGCAATCCCGCCTGCCGTCACCTGAGTCGCCGACATCGGCGACAATCCGCTTCGTCGACCTCCAACGTTGCCCTGCGAGGATCCTGCAGCCGCCGACGACTGCCTTCCTCGAGCCTGAACGCCGCCGACTTCATCGGCGTGAATCACACCTCTCTGCCTCGACGTGCCTCCCGCACTGTTGCCGACTTGGCCAGCTCCGACGATGACGCCCACGTTGACGCCGCCTTCGTTGGTCACCGGTCGAGGAGAAGCCGGTCGAGAAGGGGGATGCTCCATCGCCCGCATGGAGCAGAGTCCAGCCTCGACGACTGCCCAGGGTATTGCCCCATACTCCTGGGCCTCATGGCATCTCCTCGCATCCTCCAGCCGTCCCTCCAGGGTGTCCATCACCTCTGTGTCACCTACGCGCACGCTAGGGACTGTACGGCTGCCGGCCTATGAGCAACTTAGGTAAGTGGCCTATACGTCGACCTAACTGAAAGGTAAGTCGTGTGCTGTCCACGCTCACCGCACCATGCGGAGATAACTACTACAACGTGTGAACTCTGCGTTCGTTGGTCCTTAATCGTTTTCCTAGTGCTCACACTGCTTGCTAGTTCACGCAATTTGGCAAGAGTTTCACTAGAGAAAGTTGACAAGAATGGTACAATGAAGTTGGCATGGCAAGACTACATCAGAGCTAGCATTCAGGTCGGTCGACTGCCAGCGCAGCATGGTCGACCGCGTTCCAGCACGACTTGGTCGACCGCGCTCCAAGTCGACGGCGTGCCAACGTTGTAGGTTGACGGCGTGCCAGCGCTGCTCACGCAGAATAGCAGCGCACCCGCTTCGCAGGTGCTCGCAGGTGATTGGCGAGCTGAGCCTCGTCACCTGCACAACGCACACACCAAGTCAACCTGGCGCTGATGACTGCTTCTGATCAGCCACGTCGACCTCGGGATACCACCACCGAGGTCGGGCTCGCCAACTTCGCCTGGGCGACCATCGCACTCCTCCGCAGAACCTCGTCACCCAGGTAACCTGGTCGACCGAGCAACCACGTCGACCAGCTGCTGCCGTACGTGTCCGTCGACCTCCCAAGTCAACAGCCACCTCCAAGTCGACCTCACCAGGTCGACCACGCCCCTGGTCTACCAGCTCTAGGTCGACGTCCCTTCTGGTCGGACAGCTCCACGTCGACCAGCATTCCTGGTCGATCAGCTCCATGTCGACCAGCGCAGTTGTCAGCCGACCTCCCAAGTCGGCTACCCGAAGTCGGCGTCACGAAGTTGACGCCCAGCTACTCGACGCCCAACTGCTCGGCGTCCTGAGTCAAGGTCGATGTCGGCCCCTCCTTCGCCAACCTCTGAGTCAGGTGGACCACCAGCAGGTCGACCAGCAGGCCTATTCGACCGACCACCAGGTCGACCAGCAGTCCGTCAGCCGACCATCGAAGTCGGCTGCCCAAGTTGACGTCACCAAGTTGACGTCCTCCCCAGGTCGACTTCCCAGGTCGACCTCCTCGAAGTCGGCCTCATACTGAAGTCAACCCCGTGCAGTGGTTCCCGTGCAGGTCGACCTCCTCGTCAACGAGCTCGCCTACTGCTGCAAGTCGGCTGCTCCCCTCACACCCGACCACGAAGTCGGCTCCGCCCAAGCGAGGACGGGGCCGACACACAACTCCTGTTGACATGCCTCTGCCGTTTTGTGTACGAGTGGTTTTGCCTCGGCCCACTTGCTGACGTTCTCCACTATCAGGAGTATGTACCTCCGTCCTTTCGCGGTGACCAGCAGCTCCCCCGCTATGTCCAAGGACCACCTGTAGCCCAGACTTATTATGGGTAAGGGCTGCAGCTCTGCCTTCTCCCTTTCTAGCACTGCTCTTTTTCTGCAGCATGCCTCACACTTCCACACCCATTCCTTGACCTGTCGCTGCATGCCTGCCCACCACCACCCCTTCTGAACCAGGTGCTACATGCGCAGGGGTCCGTAGTGCCCTAATTTCATGTGCACCTCACTGATGATACCTTCCCGTTCGGCCGGAGGCGGGACGTGCTTCCAACCCTCCCCTGTACGCAGTTGTACCTGCCCCTTGAACCAGCGGTAGTGCTCCTCCCTCGCGCGCACCCTAGCCGGCACCGCCCCTTCCTCCGTGGTTGCCCCCTGAATCCATGCCAGGGCTTCCTGGTCTTCCCAGATGTCGGCTGGTCCCCCTTTTCTCTCCCCCCACACCTGTCCCCTGTCTGCTTCCTTCGCCATCGCCATGAGGCAGGCTGATGGCTGCACCTCCGGTGGGTTCCTGGACAGGATATCAACATGCTGCATGGTCTTGCCTGGGCGGTGCTTGATCTCAAATTCGTATTCTTGCAGCTTCATTGCCCAGCGGGCGTTCCGCCCCGTGAGATTAGGTGTCTGCATCAGCCAAAGCAGCGGCTGGTGGTCGGTCACTAGCGTGAACTTCCTTCCTTGCAGGTAGACCCTGAAATGCTTCACCGCCCATACCACCGCTAGCCCTTCCCCTTCAAATGAAAAGTAGTTAGCCTCCGCCGCGTTGCAGCTGCGGCTCGCGAAGGCCACTACCTTCTCCACGTCGCCCTTCATGTGTGCCAGTACCGCTCCCATGCCTGCGCTGCTCCAGTCGGTGTAAAGTGTGAAAGGCATGTTCGCTCCGGGCAGCTCCAGCACCGCACCGTTCTTGATTGCTCCCATCAGATCGTGCACCGCCCTTTCTTGGTCTGGCTTCCATTCCCACTGCTTGTCCTCTCTGAGCAGCTGATTCAGCGCGGTGGTGCGGCTGCTGAAGTTCGGTACGAACTTGCGATAATAGTTCAAAAACCCCAGCAGCGCCCGCAAGGTGGTTCTGTCCTTCGGTGTGACCACGCGGTCTAGCACGTCAACTTTTGATTTCTGAATCTCTATCTTCCCTCCTTCCACCTCGAACCCAAGGTACTCCACCGTGGTTTGCCCAAACTTGCACTTCGCCGGATGACAAGTGAGCCCTGCTCCCTCTATGGCACTCAGTGTGGCTTCCACGTCCTTCACGTGTGAGCTGCTATCTATGCTAAACACGATGACACCGTCGATGTAGCATGCGGCATTCTGCACCTCCTTCAGCACCTGATCCATGACGCGCTGGAAATTTGGCGAGGCCGATTTCAAGCCGAAAGGTAGAAAGTTCCACTTGTACTGCCCGTCTGGCCCATGAAAGGCCGTCTTCTTCTTGACTGCTTCCGCTATGGGGATCTTAACACCTGCCGCAGGTCCAGCGTGGAGAAGATGAGCGCCTCTGCCAACAGATCGAAGATTTCATCTGGCATCAGAGTTTGGTATCTCTTCATGATCGTGACCTTGTTTAGTCCCCTGTAATCCCCACACATTCGCTTGGAGAGCACTTTTCCCGTCAGGTCCGTTCGCGCCGCTAGTACCGTCGCTGCTGCATATTTGGAGTTGGACTTCCGTATGAAGCTTGCCTCTAGTAACTCCTGACACTTCTCTTCCGCTGTCATCCGCCGCCGCCGCTGGTACACTAGGATGTCTGTTGTCAGCTCCAGGGTGACTTCCGCCCCACTTCCTTCAGCGAGTAGGCAAAGGCCGCCTGGTGCTTGGCCAACACCTGCTTCAGCTTGCCTGCGTCTGCTTCTGAGACGCCCTCTCCTATTACCCACTCCCATGCCCCTATGACTTGCCCAGATGCCTGCTGCTCCTCCTTCGGGTGCTCCGCTCTTTCTGTCCCCCTTGCCGACTGCTGTGCCACTTCTGTGCCCCCAGTCGTCTGCTCGCCCTGTGCCTCCACCCTTGTGGGACCGTCCTCTTTCGTTGCAGCCATGAGCGCGAAGTCGCTAAACCCAAATTCCCGCTCGTACCTCTCCCTGCTCTGCTGCCTTTTGATCGCCTCTTCCAACCAGCTGAAGTCCTCCCGCTTCTTGTCCACTGCTTCCTCCTCCCGGTCTCCTGGGAGCCAGATTTCTTCTTGTTCTGCATACACCACCGGTCTCTCATCCTCCTCCTCCCAAGGGTAGACCCAACTCCTGTCCAGCGGGTGCCCCCGCTCGTGCTGCCGCTCGTCATGTTCCTGGATCTCAACTAACATCGCCCGCACCAGCGCCTCCTTCGCGAGTGACCTTTCTGTTGGCAGTTGCACTACTGCCGCCTTGTCCCGCTTCCTTTCCCATCGCAGTTGTGAAATGTACATCTTGATGGTGGCTACCAGCCAATGCATCACGTATCCATAGCTCTTCCTAGCGCCCTCCGCCTCTCTTCCTCTGTTACTTCCGGGTGCGCCGTAGCGTCCACCATGAACCCCATGGCTAGTTCCCTTTGCAGCGCCGTCGGCTCCTGCCGCTCCTGCCACTCCTGCGCAGTGCAATCGTAGACCATGCCTGGGCTTGGCACCCCATCGTGCATCCTGATGGCTGCGGCTTCGTCGTGCAAGACGAACGTTGGCCAAGCCTGTCTTGGATTTCCCACTTTATTGTAGGGAAACTATGTCGAGTGATCTCGCTGGTCCACGGGTGCCGGCATTCTCCCAGGTTCTAGAATATCCTCCACCAGCAGGGGCATCGGCCGTTCCATCAGCGAGAGTCTATACTGCAGCACCGCCTCGCTCACCCCATTTGTCAAGTAGCGATGGACCCGGTGTGTCCTGCTTCCCGCTTGAGCCCCATCTGCTAACACGCCCGGCCCCAGGGCCGCCGTCACCTCCTCGTGTGCCACCTGCACCTGTTCCCTAATATCTCCTTCCATGTCTACGTTCTTGACGATGTATAGCACGTCACCTTGGATTCGCTTTATCAGCTCTAGCACACGCTTCAGTTCCCGGAACAAGTCGCTCCTTTCATCCCTCATGCCTCTTCCAGCTCCCGCTCGCGAGTAACCCTGGCACTCCCACCCCGCAAATGACCACATCGATCCTCCCCCATTGCCGCAGTTGGTGCTCGTCTATGCTTTGTATGTTGCATAGTAGGCTTCGCTCCAATGTCGCTGCGCAGAACTGGTGTGGGTATCGCTCATGCAGCTTGTGTGCGTGACGCACTGCCATTTTTGCCGCTTCCATGTCGCTTTCTACCAGGATCCACTTTTCCACGCTTATCCCCGCCTTCAGCACTGCCGCCAGCCTTGTCCCTATGCCTCCGAAGAGGTTTAGCACAACCGTGGGTCCCAACAGCCTTTTCGTGTTGGTGCACAATGCCTTCAAGTCTGCCTCCCCTCCATTCTGCTCCTACTGACCTGTTGGCATCCGCGTGATCTCCTGCCAGCTAGGGATGCCTAGCTCCTCGCGTAGTTTAGCCTCTGAGCACTGATAGGCCTCCCTTGGCTCCCTCCGCACGAAGCGCACCGGCAACGTGCCGATGGGCCCATCATCTTCCCAGTAGCAGACCCGATACTGCACCTTTTCTTCCCACATGCAGATAGTGGCTCCAATCCCGAACAGGTATTCCACCCCTATGAGCAGGTCGAAGTCTTCTTATTCCGACACCCCGCAGTACACCCGTAGTGAGCACTCCTCCGTAGTACCCGGGTTCAACATCAAGGCCATCGATTGCCTGGTCTTAGGCATCCACTTCGGCTCCCTGCCGTCCGCCGTCATTAGCAAATATCCTTCCGCAATCAGGCGCCCTGACTTATGTAGCTGCAGCTTTTTCGCCAGACGCCTGCCAATGACCACATGTACGGCTCCCGTGTCAATGATTTCCCGCTGCGCTGTGAAGCCGCCGATCGTGATTGCCCCAGCCGCTATCGTCATTACCGTGGCATGGCATGTCATTCTCTCGCGCGGATGCCGGTAGGCTGCTCCAGGTGCTTCAGTGCTTTCGCTTGCCCGCCGCCTCGGACCATCCTCTCGCCGTACGTCCTCGGGGAATTCCTGCGTCTGTGTAGCCCTCTGCAAACCCAGCTCGTCCCTGTCGCGTGCCGGCGGTGCCATCAGCATGAACTCCGGCTCGTCCGCTTCCTCCTCTTCGTGCGCGGCCATGGCTGGCTGCTTTTGCTCGGTTACCTCCAGTTCCGCCAATTGCGCTCGCAGATGTGCCATGGTGGCTTGCAGATCCTCTCTGATTTCTGTCCCTTGACGGTCCCTCCGTCCAGTGTAGCAATATGCTTCACGATGGGCTTTCCGGCCGCAGCGCGCGCAGGTGGGCGCTCCTGGGCAATCCCTTCTCATATGCTCCCGACTTCTACATAGCGAGCACGCCGCCAGATTTGGACAGTCTCGCTGTAAGTGCCCTGTCAGGCCATCGTTGTGACAGCAGCGCGGCTCCTCTCTGCCCCGTTCTTCTGATTCTGGGTAGGCTGATGTCGCTGCCCATGCCGGCCGTCTCCTCTCTGGTCCCCTATCGGCTATTCGTTCCACCTCGTATAGCCGCTGCACTGTTTCCACGCGCTTCACAATCTTGTATGCCTCCCTCAACGTAGCCTCCGGCCCCATCTCAAACACTCGCACCTGCACGTCCTGCTGCAGGGGCTGACTCAGCCCATTCACGAATTTCTCGATCAATCTTCCCTGATCCGTGCAGTTCATATCTTCCCCCAGCTCCACCAATCTCCCGTAGTAGGCTAACAAAGATTCTCCCTCCCTCCCTTGGAAGCCTCGGAACTCCACGACCCTTTCTGCCGTCTGCAGGGGAAACTGCACTTGGAGCATCGCCAGAAACCGTGAGGTGGGATCCCGTTCTCCCGGTGCCCTCCCGGCCGAACATTCGAGTAACTCCCTCTGTGAAATTCGGTAGTAGGTCTCCGCTTCTCCCGCCAAGGTATTCGCAAGTCCTCGAAAGAACTCCTCTGGATCCAGCCAGTCCATTGCCCAGCGTGCCAGCAGATACTCCAATTGCATGATATAGTTCTTTAGGCTCGGGCCCGGCCTGCTATCCCCCGAAAATCTCTCGGGCACCTCAATTTTTGGCAGCTGCGTATACTTCCAGCGCTGCACCGCCGCCTCATCTTCCATACCCTGCTGCCAGGCGCTCCGGTGGTAGCCACTCGGCCCCCGTTCCTGCGAGCGCGTCGGCGGTTGATCTCGCAGCCGTTCCCCTGGTCCTCCAGATGTGTTATTCCTGCCATCCCTTGGATCTATGCGAGCGCCGCCCTGTGGTCCGCTTGCGCCCTCGCTGGGCCCACCTTGCCCTTCCGTCCTCCCCGTCTCCTGCAACTCCTTCATTGCCTGATCCTTCTCCGTCTCATTCGCCATCTGCTGGCTTTGCTTTCCTCTAATCGTCGGTCATCCATGCTGCTTTCCTGCCTGCCCCCAGCTGGCGCTCCTATCTTCCAGCTCCATCCTCAACTCGGTGTCTGCAAGAGAAAACAAAGCACACACATGCACACCACACATCACACATTCGCACCCCCACGCCACGTCACCTCGCTACCGAGCCCGCCAGCGCACCTCCCTTCATTCAGCTCACCGCCCTACTCGGGATTGAATTCCTCAGTGCCACCCACCCTGCCGAGTCTCCCCTCTCGCCCCACCACTGCCATTACTGTTCCCCATCGCTGAGTGCTTCGCTTATATACAAATGTACACGCTTTCCTCCCTGTAGCATTCACTACACCCTCTGACAGCATTTCTTAGGTGTCAGCCTAAGAATTTTGACACCAAGGAGCACATGTGCTGTCCACAGCAGCTGTCCAAGAACCAGGTGTCTTTCCCGGACGCTTCGCTCTGGGCAATGGCTGCGTACATCGGATTCGGCTCCAATGATTTAAGGCAAGGGGTGCTTTCATCGATCTGTTCTTCTGGTGAGTAGTATGGTGGCGATCCGGTGATGCAGGAGCCTGTTATTCTTACTATGCAGCTTACGAAGTTTCTTGCGCCTAGTGTCAAGATTAGAAGCTAGAATGGATTGAACTATGAGAGATTTAGGTACATATAGAAACCTTCAAGGGGCTGTACAACATAGTGGCTACCCCACTATAGCCTACACATCATGATAGAACAGATATAGTTTCACACCGCCATAGGCACAGTGGGGGAGAACAAGGGGTCACAAGATCAGTCAAGACAAGCAAAGCAAGCTCAGGGTGGATCACAACGTCACCACACACTCCGAGCACAAGCAAAGGGCCACAAGGTCAGTTCAAATGCAAAGATATATATGCAACAGCAACAGTACAGTGATCACTACCTAGCAAGAGCAAGAATGCAGGTATATATATGGATCACAGTACAAGCAAAGTGACGAAGTGAGCAAGTGAGACGAAACAGGCACAAGGCCTAACATAGTACACAGGCGTTGATGATCACCAGACGGAAGTGCCTTGGTGAATATATCAGCAGTGTTGGCCCGAGTGGCCACGTGAGCAAGACAAAGCTGACCACGCTGCTGCAAATCTCGAGCCAGGAAGTAACGCATAGCAATGTGCTTCGTTCTGTGCTCCAGTCTGTGCTTTTAACACAAGGCAATGACGTCCTTGTTGTCTACGTACAGAACTGGAAGCGAACGAGGCCGCTCTCCCAAGTCGGTCAGCAAGTAGGTGAGCCAGCGTAACTCCTGTGCAGCCATGGCTATGGCATAAATCTCAGCCTCACAACTGGAGCTGAGAACAGAAGACGGGCGGGTAGACCGCCAAGAAACAGAGCCGCAGCTAAGGCTGAAAGTGTAACCCTGTGACGACCGCTGCGTAGCCAGGTCGTCAACCCAAGACGCGTCTGAGTGTCCAGTGAGAACAACTGAACCCCGCCCTCCAAAAACGAGCCCCATGCCCGATGTACTGCACAAGTAGTGCAACACCCTCTTAGCAGCCTCGAAGTGCTCTTGCCGGTGTCTCCCAGGTGCAACGTAGCGCCTCCAAGATGCTAAGAGGGTAAGCAAGGTAAGGTCGGGTGCATGTCATCAGGTACATGAGGCAGCCCACAAGCTCTGGATACGGGCCACTCGGCTCTACAAAGTCGTCCGAAGGTGGAGCTGAGAGCGAGTGACCTGTAGCCATAGGAGTGGACTGTGGCGAGGACCAAGTGAAGCCGAAGCGCTGAAGGACCTGCTGCACCATGTGTGACTGAGTCAGGGTGATGGTGCGGCATGCTCTGTCCTGGGTGATCTGCAAGCCAAGGTAGCTGCGCAGTTCACCCAGGTCTGTGCACGTGTGTCTCTTCTACAG